CCCCCCTCCGCACCCTCTCCCCACCCTGGATGACAAGAGGCTGTCAGTGGAAAACCTGCAGCTGGCAAGAGATCAAAGAAAGACATCTTGGAGAAAGATGAATTTGCTATTGCTTGTGGATAGAAGGAAAGGGACGGGAGGATGACGTCTGAGCCAAGCCAGGCTGGTGAACTTTGTTACTCATCATGGCGACGGGAAGGAAGCAATCCACTTAGGAGAGATGTGGAAAAGTCCTAATGTCAGTGAGGATTGAGCAGAGCACGGGCTCAAGTGTGGACGGCCAGGCCTGTGAATGGCACAGCTGCTGCTTTGGGGTCAGAGATTTCTCCCTCCCTCCCCCCTTCCTTCCTGTCCCTTTTCTTCACTTTGATTCCCGGCAGTGGGGATTGCATTTAGGCCTCCCTGGTGCTCAGCACACACTCTGCCTCTGAGCCAATCTGCTCAGCTTTGGGGAGGAAAAGACTGATGGATTGATTTTTCCATTTCCTGGAATTCATTTTGAGAAGTATTTTACATGATCAGAGGCATGGCGCCTCTGTGCTCCTGCCCAGGAGGAAAGAGATTTCCATGAGGAGCTTTTTGAAAGAGAAACAGAGGCTGGGAAGGTGGCTCAGTGGTAGAGTGCTGGCCTTGCATGCATGAAGCCCTGGGTTCGATTCCTCAGTACCACAGACACAGAAAAAGCTGGAAGTAGCGCTGTGGCTCAAGTGGTAGAGTGCTAGCCTTGAGCCAAAGAAGTATAGGGATAGTGCCCAGGGCCTGAGTTCAAGCCCCAGGACTGGCAAAAAAAAAAACCAGAAGAGAGGAAATAATGAGTTTTTCTCTGTCTCTTTCTGTCTGTCTGACTCTTTCTCTTTTGTGCCCAAACTTTTTTTTTTTTTTGGGTCCGGTTGTGGGGCCTGAACTCTGGGCCTGGGCGCTGTCCCTCAGCTCTTCAGCTCAAGGCTAGCGCTCTACCACTTGAGCCACAGCGCCACTTCCGGCTTTTTTTCTTTTGCTTATGTGGTGCTAAGGAATCGAACTCAGGGCCTCAAGCATTCAAGGCAAGCGCTCTACCACTGAGCCAACTTCCCAGCCCTCACAGCTCCACTTCTGCTTTATTTTTTATTTATTTATTTTATTGATTGATTGGAGAAAAGAGTGTCGCAGACTTTCTTGCCCAGGATGGCTTCGAACCTCGATCCTCAGATCCCAACCTCCTTAGTTACAGGTGTGAGCCACCAGTACCTGGCTATGCGTTCTCCTTAGAAACGCTGAAACTGGGCTGATCATATACCCACATCCAAGCTTGCTTTGTGGATGAGAGGCCTGCTAGAGACAATGCACTTTTAGAAATACAGTGTTAAGGGCTGGGATGTAGCTAAGCACTTGCCTAAGAAGGGCATTGTCGTGGGTTCAAATCCCCAGTACCAAAACAGAAAAGATGAAAAAGTTACAGTTAAAAAAAAAAAAGAGGGGCTGGGAAGGTGGCTCAGTGGTAGAGCGCTTGCCTTGCATGCATGAGGCCCTGGGTTCGATTCCTCAGCACCACATAAGCGGGAAAAAAAGCCGGAAGTGGCATTGTGGCTCAAGTGGTAGAGCACTAGCCTTGAGCTGAAGAGATCAGGGACAGCGCCCAGGCCCAGAGTTCAGGCCCATGACCGAACACCCCCCCCCCAAAAAAAAATGTATCCCCAGGTGTCGGGGCCTCACGCCTGTCATCCTAGCGACTCAGGAGGCTGAGATCTGAGGATCACCATTCAAAGCCAACCCAGGCAAGAAAAGTCTTGAGACTCTGAATCTCAATGAGCCATCAGAAAACCAGAAGTGGCGCTGTGGCTCAGAGTGGTAGCCATGATCCCAAAGAGCTCAGGGTCAGTGCCCAGGCCTTGAGTTCAAGTCCCACGACTGGTAGTAAAAAGTATAGTGTTAATTCATCACAGAGAATTCTACCTAATACTGTCTATACACTTCAGTTGTAGCAAAGCTTGGATTGGATATTGAATCTGTGGCATCAGTACGCATCCTGTTATTTTTGTAGTGTGCGTGTGTGTGCGTGTGTGTGTGTGTGTGTGTGCGCGCGTATGCGCGCGCACACGAGCCAAACTTAGGGCTTGAAGGCAGGGCCTGGGCACTGCCTCGGCCTTTTCTCAAGGCTGGCGCTCTACTACTTGTGCCACGCCTCCACTTCAGCCTTACTGCTGGTTAATTGAAGAGAATCATGGGACTTTGCTGCCCAGGCTGGCCTTGAACTGTGATCCTCAGATCTCAGCCTCCTGAGTAGCTAGGATGCCAGGCGTGAGCTATTGGCATTCAGCAAGATTTTGAACAGACTCATGGCCATTTCCATGGGGCGCAGTGCTTGTAGTAGTTGACACGGAAGGGGACTTACCATATCTAATAATACCGGCTTTTCTTTTTTTTTTTTTTTAGAGTTATCATCACAATGTTGGTGACGTGTTCCGTTTGCTGCTATCTCTTGTAAGTATATTATTTCTTGTAAATGGTCACTTTCTAAAATCCTAAGTAATTCTCCTTGACAATGTGTGTGATTTAAACTTTTGTTTCATTGGCGCTTAGCCCTTATGGGAATACCTACACTGACAGTATACTTTGCGGTGTTTAGCATGCTACATGCTATGTAATTATCATTGTAATTCATGGTAATATCTGTTTTTTTT